ATATGACCCGAGTTGGCATGACAGGGATGGCAGGCGCATGTATTCGATCCTTGCACAGACAGGTTTACTACTATCTATATATGAATACCTATATATATTTATAACCACAGGTTAACCGGCCTAGAAGAGGAGTTGTCACATTCACAAAGTAAACGAAAAGAAAACAATTACGCCCTCAGCAAACAAAACAGTCAAGGCTGCACTGAAAAAGACATATGGGTATGAACGAAAGAAGGCAACAAAGAAGAACACATTGTTAACATTCTGCGGCCTGTTCGAACTCATTACTTAGCCAAAACTCTGGGAGTTCACTCTGCCCCTTCTGTAGAGTGAAACTACAGAGCAAATTCATTGTTTGGCAGAGTTTTTCGTTTCCAGTGGAGGCCCCAATGTCACAGCGGAGCGGCTCAACACGGTGAAGCGGTGCCCAAAATCAGTGACGCCTCCCAAAAGCGAATGTTTCAGATCCAGACGCTGAAGATGCCACGACGAAGGGGGGAGACCGAAAACCGCCAGAGGAGCAGATGATGTCGACCTCACGAGAACCCAGGGCTCGAACGGAGGAAGGCAAGAGTCGAACGTTCGTGAATAAGACGGAACCAACAGGGTGTCCAACCGTGCTGGCGATGCATGTCCAAGGAAGAACAGGCCAATCAGTGCACTGCTGAAAAGGCTGCAGATCCGCCGCCTTGCAGAAGCAGACAATGGTGCCGAAAGAGTCGAGTCCATCGAAAGCAACCAACCAATCCGGGTTGTCAGCACCAATGAGAACCCATGCGACCATGGAGGATCCCGTCGGCAACTTGGTTCCAGAAGTGACCCCGCGCAGAGAGCTGCGTGGAGATGGGCCGGTAGGAGGAGGTTCAGAAGGATCCAAGGGAGGAATCGAGGGAGGTGGCTCAGGCTCAGGAAGAGACTCGGGTGGATCCACATGGGAACACAACTCGAGCTCTGGAGCCCTGTCGACGCTTCACTTCTTCTTCTCCAACGAAGCAACTCGGTTGCCCATGGTCTGCTTGAGTTGGGTGAATTCAGCCGACAGAGTAGCGCACTTCTTGTCGACGGAAGCGATTCCCTTGGAAGCATCCTCAGCTTTGGTCTGGACAGCGGCAAGTTGAGACGGATCGACGCGGTTCTTCATGATGAAATTAGACATGGCCGTGACAGAGACATGGTGAGCCTTGAAGTTGGCTTCAATGATCTCGTTGATTCGCTGATGCACCTGGAAGGATGCCCAAATGATTCGAGCCTTAGTTTCGGGCAGGTGGAAGTCCTGGAGCTGTGTAACGCTGGCTCGAGGGTGGGCCAGATGGTCGAGGATGCACCATGTAAGACAGCCCAGGAAAGTCCAGGCGGTAGCCTCGTCATAGCAGCACTGGAGGACCAACTCCTCCTTCCAATTACTGAGCATCGCAACCAGATCATTGATCTGATTTCGAGTTTCGCTGAGCAGGTGCCGCGCAAGTTCAGCACCTAGCCCACGTCCCGCAATAGTCCCACGTACTGACCGAGTGAGACGAGTGTACTTCTTTGGAAGGTCGTTGTGGACGCATGTTGACTGTGTCCCGCTGAATTGCGAGAACGTCTTGAGGCGATGACCAAAGCCGTCCTCCGGGTCGACTGCCACCTTGGCACTTAAGAGGTACAGGGGAGTCGGATGTTGCATGGTCGACATGAAGTCCACCTCCAGCCTGGTGGCCTTGATGCCATTGGAAGAATGGGTCTTGTCAGCGAAGGCTTTGCCGTCTGAGTAATCATCCTGACACATGCAGATTGCAGAGAAGATGTCCATGAAACCGGCTACCGAGACCAATTCTAGCTCCTCGTGACCAATGCTTGAATGGACATCTTCAGCTGATGCGAACGTGAATTCCCCGAAGGAGTACGTATTGGTTCCCAGGAGCTTCTTGGAGACGTTGGCCTGAATGGACTCTAGCCGGTCTAGGCGGTTTTGAGTGTTGGCTGGGAGGGAATCAATTGCCTGGCTCATCACCGCATTGCTGTTTCCAAGGTCGGCAATCAGCAGCTTGAGTTCCTTCAACTCGTCCCACAATTCTGCCTTGAAACGCGAGTCAGTGGGAACCTTGACAGTCGAAACCGGCGTCTGATGGACGCCAAGTATAGCCGAGAGTCCTGGAGTGAGGGTAGACGTTTGGCTGCCGGACAGACCCCAAATCTTCCACTCCTGTTTCTACCTCCTTCATGCGTCCCTGGAGATCAGCTATCAACTTCCCATGGATCTGTGCCACCTGCATCAAGCTGGAGTCGAGTCGGTCGATCTTCTTGGTCCCCATGCTAGCCTTTTGCTGTCAAGACTTGACACCTTCCTCGATGAGCTTCACACGAGAGTGGATGTCAGAGTGAGACGACCATAAGTCAGGTCCAATGTCTTCCCACTCGTCGCCTTGATAGGATCCTATCTTGGAGTCTACTAGGTGCAAACTGGACGTGACATCTTCAATCATCTTCAATTACTTTTCGTCATGGGATCGAAACTGGCCAACCAAGTCGCCCAGGCCGGCTAGGCATGATTCCTGTTCCTTTAGTACAGACAGCACTGCTTCGAACATTTGCTTTGACTCCTCAGTGACCAAATCGGCTGCCTGGGCTCGGAGGTCATGGATGGAGTGCTCAGGCTTGGTCGCAAATAGTATACGCTGAGCTTCAGACTGACGTTCCATCTTCACTCGCTGGGCTTGAGCTTTAAAGCTGACCTTCCGGGGAGTGAGAACGTGCTTGATTGCTTCTGCAAATGATTCGAGAGTCTCTTGGTCCTTTGGTGAAGGTGAAGCACCTCCTGACCAATTGACTGAACCCCTGGCTTTGGCTTCCTGAACGTCGGCAAGATGACTTCTAAATACCATACGTAAGTGTTCGAGTGGATGGGCTCGTCCAAGGAGAGAATCCAGTTCGCCAGACCATGACTGCAGGCATGCTGGGTGACAGAAGCCCATAAGTTCCAATCTTGGCTTTGTTCTTCCCGGCAGACTTGGTGAGCGGTATGATGTATAGGTTTCCCTCTTGCAGCGCCACTTTGCTCTCATGGGCGGCGATGGTACAATCTTCCTTGAAACAGAACTTCTGACCGGCAGGTGAACCGATGACACCGCAACAGTACAGACTCAACATATCCGGACGAACGACAACAACCCTAGCTTGGAGACCAGTCTTAGCTGCTTCCTCACCATTGCCAGAAATGCCACCGGCAACGGTTGGGTTTGTGCCCTCACCAACATTGGAACGAATTCCCTCGATATTCGTATTGGTCGAAGAACCGACACTCGCTTTGGTCCTCGCTGAAGGTGTACGGGTGCCTTTCTCTGGCGAGAGGTCAAGACTCCCATGAAGCAGATTCTGCAGCATTTCGGCTGAGTAGTCTGTCTCATTTCCATCCCCCTTGAAGGACTTGGAGTCTTCAGTCATATTAAGATAGTAACGATATAAACGCTAAAAAAAAACGAGACTGGTGGACACTTATTAACTCAACAACAGAGGCCCTGAGCGGTAACTCAGACTGTATTAGAACCAACCAAC